CACGCCGTGCTCGGAGAAGTCGGCTTCTGCCTAGCAAAACCAGGCTTCTATGTTGTCTGGGCAGAAAGGCATGAGTTGGAACGAAGGCGGGGACATAGTCTTAAGCTTAAGTACTTTGAGTGTCTGTTCATTCATGGTCAAATATGCAGTACAAGAAAAAAATATATATCCAAAAACATAAAAAAATATCACAGTGTATAAAAAATTAAAATAGGGCAATGATATATAGTATGCCAAAAAGGAACGAACTCACAGTTTGCAGTTTGGTGCACTTTAATGAAGCTTTTATGTTTCGAAGATAATCATCGACAGGATCACTAACCATGTTGAGTTATTGTCCAGTTCGATATAAGTACATAGATATCTGTTGCTATATTTATAGACTTGATCCAAAAATTGAAGATTAGTCTTGATGTGACGACCAAACCTATAGGATCTAACATGGACGTTACATCATTGTCTATACTGACTCGTCCTAGTGTGACAATCACCAATATAACGTCTACCACCTCTGAAGAACATTCTCAGCAACTGATTGAATAATATACCTGATATGAACAGGAATGCGTTACACTAAATGACTAAGTTCACGATGCCAAGCCACGCCATACCGATCTTTTTTTTCCAATGTCCAACACTTAATCCGTGTTGAATATTCAATGAGGACCTTTTCAGGTTTTCTATGCTTGGCTTCGAGGATCATTTGGCTGAGAAACAATAGCACTACAAACTCTTTTGATGAGGTATGTTGAAGAGGAAAAATATTTTTTCAAATAACATCTGACATTTCGGAAGCATGTGACTGACCTTATACCAACATTGAATACCATTTTACAGTAATATCTATATTAGACTTTGTGCTTACCAACATCCCCTTTATTTTTCATAGAATCTCTTAAAGCGGAAGAAGAAGAATTCCATTTGTTCTCTATGATCTCCTAAATACAGCGGAGTAAAGTTTTAAACCTGTTCTTGGAATCACCAACCAGTTTCTTCACATAAGTTGACCTAACTTTGAATGTGAACATTTCACATGTGTTTTCAGTCTTGTCAAAACCTGATCTGAACAGTTTAGATCCGTTAAAACCGAATGACTTCTAAAGGCATTTCAAATTAATATTATTCACAAACAACTTATGGGTACATAAGTATTGTGAAGAAACGATTTTGGATTTCATCAGAAACGCAATAATACACAAGTTTCACGAATGCTAGCAAAATATTTGGCATATTTAATAGAATGTTTTGTGTAATTGAGAAGAATATTGAGTTGACTTTAAAGAAGGAAATGGAAAAGATAAGGGAATAGAAATGAAGGCAACATGAAATACGTAGTATAATAAGCGTGTTTATGAACACAGAACAAGAATATATGATTATATTTCGTCAACTGAATAGTGAAAAACGAAGAAAAGATTTTCAAAAAAACAAATAAGAAAATAAATTATCATTGGAGTTGGATTCCACGGTAAAATGGTGCAGTAATAGATGTGATTGATGCTATAAAAGTCACAATCAACTTATAATATAATCAAATATCAATTTCTACGAGTTATATATATGTGTAAAAATAAAATAAATCTGGAAACTCCAACTGTAACTTAAGATAATTTATTTTTGGTTAGAGACTTTGGATGTTTGGGAATAAAATATGTTTGGAAAGAAAAGAAGGGATGAAGAGAGTTTCTGATGTGTCGAGGGACCACCCATGATTATGACAACAATAATAATCATAAGTATAAACGTAAGCAGACTTTATACATCAAAATGAATATAAAGAAAACAAAATAAAATAGAAAAGTTACAAAGGTTCTACTTTATGTTTTAGTCAGTTGGGTACATGGCGGACCTTGTTTATATGAATAATTGTTAAACACATTGATATTCAATGGGTGGTACAATTCACTTTCGGAGATAATATCATCAAGGAGACGTCTGAACAGGGTTATGTTTGACAGGTTTCTTGACTTCTTTCACGGAGGGCAGACAGTATTTTTACGAGCAGCCATACATATTACAAGAAGAAATTTTGTTGAGTTGGAAGCAAAGTTAGACTGAATTCAGGGATTTTTTTTGAAAAAAGTTGGTATCAGCTATCCAGTCCGTTGGTACAGTAAATCTTCTATTTATTGAGGAGTCTACTTATCACATCTATTTGTTCCATTAAACTCAGAAAGTGAAACATACATTGTATAAAATTCATGACCAAAATTTATTATTGGGGTTGTGGAATGTAGCGTTGCGTCGAGTTGAGGTTAACTATGAACACCGCTATCAAGTAACACACAGTCTTCATTTAACTGTTGGTTGGACCCTAAAAATAAGTATCTTTAAAAGCCAAGAAACAAAGAATTATCTTAGCTCATGCAAGTGATCACTTAGATGAAAACGTTTTTCATCATTAAATGGCGTGGATGTACATAAATTTTCATTAAAAGAGAGACTGAATGTCACGTCAAATAATCCACTAACGCTATGTGCATTTAGAATTCCACTCAGTGCTTCTCATAGTTTGCAACTTACAATCGTTGTAAATGAGGGAAAGTCAATTGATTTCTAATTTAAAAATATTCGGCGTCTAAATGGTCAATGATTTGAAACCTCTATCATGTTCGTGAATTTTCAAGTTGTAACTCCATTATATCGAAAGAAACGTTATTATACGTGATGCACAAACCTTGAGGAATCTGAAAAAATTGGTTGAACATATTTATATCAGTAGTTCAATGGTCGCGTAATTGAAAATCAAACTACTTACAAAAATGTCGTCTAGTTCTGATGTTTTAGAGTGAAAACAATCCCTCTAATTTGAGCCTGGATTAATTTGTAACTCTGATAAGTGTTGTCAAATATGTTCTGCATATCATCATATGGGCCTAATTTAAAGTAAGTTTATAAATAATCCCCTTGTGACAACGACTAAGGTATGTGACTACGAACTCGATCTTAGTGTAACGGATCCAGTTTTATGAATGTTTCATTGGTAGTAATGTTGAAATCAATAGCAACGTGATGGCTGGTGCTCAGAAAGTTTAGGACATGAAAAACTTTCGTCAATTATTTGACACTAGATTGTGTAGTCTCTAGGATTTTCTATCTTAAGCTCTTTGTGTGTGGGTCCTTGTATACTAGTTTCGCCGTATCTTTAATAGTTACTCCGGGCTGATTGTCGAACGTCTCTGTTATCAGTTACTTTATATAGACTAGGTGTTGACAACTGAAGAAAAGGCTATGTGTCGATCGACACTTGGATTAAGGATATATTAATATTACATGGAGCAGCTCTTATTCGTGCTTGAGAGAGGCAACTAAGAGGAGGGCAGTATATTAAGACAAAATTCACAGCTGCTTGATTTAGGTGTGATATCCTCACCAATTTATTCAGGATCTATAAGGAATCGTTATATTACGAGTTTGATGTTTCCTTTTAACACGTGCAAAACTGTTCGTAATGGTGTGTCTGAAAAAGCATGTTAACACCGAAATAGTATGGGAAGAAATGAGGGCCATTGTTGAACAAGAAAACAGATATTCTTCACACGACGGTTTGCACGAAAAGGTAGATTTATTTACTTTAAATATAAATCAAAAACTACAATAAATCGTCTGAGATAAATTAATGCATACAGGAACTAATGTAAGACGTCCCATATGCACACATTACACGACCAGGAGTCACTAAACAACTTTATCCTGTGTATATTGTTCCAGTCGTGCTATGCATGATTAAGACATCTGCTTCGAAATCTCAGTACTGTGTGTTCATTAGTCTCTATCTGTTCCTTTTACCTCTAGGATTTTAAGTTAGGGATTCACTTGTGTCGCAGCTGGGTGGTTCCCGGAAATTGACCCATTCAACTAGAGTATTACCTTCACGGCCTAAAGGTTGATTTTTTTTGCTGTCATAGTAGGTTGTTATTGATAGTACCTCGTCAATGGATCTAGAGAACCTTATGTAGACAGCTGTTTACAAACAACTGCACCTTTTTGATGGTGGCAGTGATAGTTCTCCAAAATTCAGCTATGTACAATAAAAGTGACTAGACATTGAAAATCCTGACTTTAGTGTTGGCTGATAGTAAAGTTTCAGATACTCTTGAGTTGTAGGAATGCCGTCCTTGTTTTGCTAATTTATACCTTTGTATTAGTCTTAAAATAATCCTTGTTCATCTATCTTACTGTGCAAGCGTCTTTTATTACAAAAACTGTTACACATTTGGTAGTCTTCTAAATTAGAACTTCTCCCACCTGAGATATTATTGTTCAGTGGTCGAAAATAATTAATGAGTGATGGCAACGCACTCAATATATTTTAATAGCTAGTAGGTATGAAAAAATGTATGTGAAACCTCCACTAATAATTCATACTCTACTACATTCGATCAACTCACTGTTATTGTGGGCGGTGTTCGAAATTTAATTGTGATATAAAATGTGCTACGCAATAGCCACCAAACTAACGTATTGAGCGAGAAGAGTGAAAGTCTATAGGGCCACTGAATAGGATACATAAATACTCACATATATATAAACTTCTGTTCTTTAAAAAAAATCAATACATGCATTACTTCTTCAGGTCATTCTGGATTATCATGAAACAACCTTTTCGTTTGTCTACTTCTGATCAGCTCAACAAGTGATTTTTTCACTTGGCTTTGAGTCACAACAAGTGTGAAGGCCAATTATGTTACATGAACGACTCGACAGTAATAAGAGGTATTCAAACTAAACAAATGCATCATTGCGACTACATAAACCAGTAGCTAGGATAAATGACACGTGGAAAGGTTTAGGCGAAATATAGTAGGTTCGAATATCTGAGAAAATTGACGAACTGGAATGCAACAAATACAGCTATCCAGATAGGGCTAAGTCCCAATTAGGACGAGAGGATGTGTATCTTGGATTTCATTGCTAGCCAATATTCTAATCCCGTTTTAATTGTAAGTTGTAGAGAAACACCTTAACTAATAGTAACATCAGGATAAAAAGTAAATTTGCGCAAAACAATGTATTTTTTTTCAGTAACTGAAATAGAAAGAACTTTAAAAAAAAAGAAACCAAAACAAGGAAAGAACACAAGAAAAAGAAACAGAGCAAAACACAATCTTCCTTAGGTAAAAAATTACATTCTCACTATTTTATGACCAGATGAAATATTCAACAAAAACAACAACAAAAAAAAGAACGATTCACTTCTCTACTATCATCTTCATCCTGCTTGTTTTCTCTTCTTTTGAAAGTTCTTATGCGTACCATAATTATTATCATTACACAATATTGCCCATACAATCAACTACAATCTGGATACAGATGAATTAATGATAATAATAATAATATAACCATCAATATTATTATTATGTGAATTTCATAATGAATGTGATGAAATGGAATAATTGCAAATAAAGCATATATATATAAGTATGTACACAAGACGTTAAGGAATATATGTTAATAATAGGTAGGTTAATAGGGATAAAGTACATATGAGTAATAATAAGAACAATAGTGATCCATTCAAGATTCAATTATATCAGGTTTTTAAAACTGAAAAGCTTAAAATAAATTGAGTGATTATATGCCTATTACTCTTTTTGTGTGTATATATAATAGATGCATAGGGATCTACAGCCAGAACAGTGTTGATTAAAAGTAATACGACTAATCAACCTAAATAAAACAAACAACAAAGCATATGGTCTTTGAATCATATAATAGTATAAATTGCCTTGACAATTTCACAATGCTTACCACAGGCAAAGATAGAAATAGTAAACATATAAATATATATATGTATGTATATAAGTAATATAACAGGAATAAAACAAGAAAAAGGCAGCGAAAGATAGGCAACTCGAATACGTGCGAAAAAAAAGCTGTAATATAAGATGACATAATAGTTTATAAGTAATTCTTTACGAATCTCACCCTCTCCTCACGCCCCAAAAATACAATTAATCAAGAATAAAGATAATAATAGTAATAATAAAGATAATCACCTAATTTATGAGCCTATTTTAATTAGCAACATACGAAAAATATCAGTCTGCATGTTTAAAAAAAAGCACAACAAAAGTTCCCTAGTTGTAGACACACAGAATGAGAGAAAATTCAAAAAAAGATTAAAGTATTTTTATTATGTACAAAGAGGCACACACAATCGGAGAAAGTACAAATATATGTATATATATATATAAATAAATAAAAGCAAAAAGAATATTCGAGGAACCAGTGAGCAAATGGGAAATAACCTCATTTTTTCCCCGAAAAACAAACAAACAAACACTAAGAAAATAAACAAATATGTTCAGGTACTTTTTATTTTTAAAAAGGCCAACACCAAAACAACGTATACACCGGAGAAGATACACTTTCGTTATAAAAACAACACCACCACCACCAACAACAACAACTTGATGATAATAGGCAAAATTGATAAAACAAATAGATAATAGAAACTTGATTCATGATTGTTAAAAAAAGCCTTATTAATAATCGTTTTACTAAGAGAATGATGAATAATAAACAAGCAAAATACAACTAAAAACACAAATAGGCATATACATATGACATCCGATGACAGCTGTTATTGGAATAAAACACAAGAATATACACACACACACACATGAAATACCTTCCATAAAACATTACCATAAGAACAACGAAGATGAAATACTATAACTCAATTATATTGTTTGAATGAGTAATGATGGTATATATATATATATATATATAAAGGGATTTATCATCCATTCATTCGCTTCAAACGCCACTTATGAACATTAAAAATAGATTAGACTGACTATATCTCTTTATTTCAATGGATATACATAAGTAAAACTTTGAAAGCAAAAAAAAGAAGAGAGAAATGAAATAACACACTTTACACAAGAAGAGAAATGTGTCTAATTAGAGAACATTTACAAGTACTTAAATTAAGCACTTTTCAGTGGGGAGGGGTACTAACTTTTTTTTTAAAAAAAAATTATCATTTAAGAAAAAGGCACAATGATAACAACAAAATAATTAAATCAATTGTATTTGACAAAAACAAGTATATGACTGTATGTGCGTGCGCGCGTGTATGTTGTATGTATGTACGTAAAGGCGGAGGGGGGGGGGAAACATCACACTCAATATATATATCTTATTTGAACGAATACACTTGTAATGAATTCATTTACGTATAAATACAATAATGAGAATTGTATATATATAAAATAAAGAAAAGAAAAGAGAGAATTTACCCTAATAGAGAGAAGAATACACCGAGTAAAATTATTGTTGAATGATAGATAAACCTGTATACTTTTATTGTTTTGTTTTTTTTCATAACCAAAATATAAATAAAAGAGAATATTAAAAGAAAAAAAAGAACAAGAAGAACAAAGCAACAATGAGAATAATAATAGTGGTCTAGGAAATTGATCTTTACAAGCAACATGATATAAAGGAATGCTAATTCATGTTTTGAAATATAAAACAAATAAAACACAATGATAAGAGAAACATTTATCATTGATAAAATAATAATATTAAATTAATTAAATGATAATAAAGAGTAATAATAATAGAAATAAATAAAAAGCAATTAAATTGAATCTAATATAAGGTGATCCGATCAACATATTCAATACACACATACCATTTGACTGATGTTATTTACTTGAATGAGTGTTGTTTGATGGAAAACAAATTACTATCATTGAAGAAAACAACAACAACAACGATAATAATGACGGATGAACTGACTATTTTGTTGTTGTTGTTGTCGTTGTTAACACCATCTTATATTAGAGTAAATAATGTTTAGAAGAAACTAGTAAATGTATAATAGAAGCAAGTTATAATCAGCAGTGAATTAAATATAGTAAGAGAATAATTATTAAAGACTTCAAAGATCATTGTTTATAGTATATATAGATATATATAAGAAGATCCTTCTTTTATCGATTTCCATTTTGCTATGAAACAAAAGATAGAATAATTGACTACATTCATGAATGTAATTGATAGTATTTTATTATGAATTACGGAAAGAAAGTAATTATTATTATTATTATTTCACAAGACTCCACATACGCATGCATACAAACACAAGAGAACTGCTGCCAAAGTAATAACCATCAGAAAAAAGAAAAGAGAAGAAATCATCTTCATGGAGGAAATAATTATTCTATTCACATCTTGTGCTTAACATGGTTTATCTCTGTAGAATAATAGATATAATTCAGAACAAAAAAAGAAAGTGATTTGTTTTGATCAAGTTAGGATAACTCTAAGAGACTATCGTCATTACCAGGTAGATTAACATATACAGGTCATCCAATTTTCTTCTTCTATTCAAATTGAAACTATGTTTTATTGAAATAAACAAGGAAACTTGTATATGTGTTAACTGAATGGTGAAAAATATCATAAAAATAACACATACACAAACAGTATTATCAGCTTAATAAGAGAGTATGATAACATAATAATAAAACATTACACTTTTGTTTTTGTATTTTTGTACGTGAATTAGTTTAGATGGAGAAAGGCGATCATTGTCGTTATCACTATTATTATTACAACAACAATGATAACAGCTCCTACTGGTATTATTATTATTATTATTTACACTAACAATTTAATGATCACTATTGATACTTGAACATGATAAAAGCTTCATGGTGTTTTAATGAATAAGAAAGAAAACAAAAAATTTAATAATAACATCATATTATGTTGAGATTGATTCAAGAGAATTTCACCAATGTGTGTTATTATTTATGCTTAGAAATAAAGTGGATGACATTGATGGTGTCGGGGATAATAAAAAAAGAAACTCAATCGCATAGCATAAGAAATAGAATGATCGATAGCCTATATATATATATATATATATATATATATATATATATATATATATATATATATATATAAAGTGAATTGAATGCATTTCATAGAGAGATAGAGCGCAGGAAAGAACAATAAGGATAGACTCCAACCGGGGTGAAATTTCAGTAATATATATAGGTTTCCGTAAAAAAAGGGATATAACATATCATAATAGAAGATAAATAGAAGAGAGAGAAAACCCAGCAAAGTGAATGAATTAAGCAGATAAATGTATAAAGAAACAAATTACACAATCACCAACAATAATACCACTGTCACACTATAATATTGTGAGGATTTCAAACCAACCAACCAACCAATAAAAAAATGATAGCTTGCATCCATATCTACCGACTCCTTATGAGTAGTATGAAGGGATATTTAATCGATAGAAGTCATTATGGTGGTGGAACGGTAGAAGTAGTAGAGCTAACAATTGATCCAGATAGTTTAATCTCTTGATTTGGAGCAAATGTTAAGTAGGATGCATTCATTATGTCCTGTTCGGAATTATAATGCTGATGAGATGTAGTCGTCAACGTCGTGGTAGTGCTACTACCACTACTATTACTACTACTGGAGGGAAGTTTTTCATGAATACAATGCGCTAAATTACTGGAAGGAGACTGTTTATTATTACTGGGGGAAGCAAACTGACAAGAGAGAGATATTATATTCGTATTGGAACCAGTAACAGAAGTATTAGTGACGACTGTGGTAGTAGTATTAGGAGTAGAAGTAATAGTACTACTATTACTACTGATTACATTGGCTGTTGTCGTTATTATTGAACAAGTTGTAAGTGGCGGATTGACAGTTGAAGGGGTTGTAGAAGAGCTACTGTTACCAGTTTGTTGTTTCTGTTGTCCTATGTTTTTATAAAAGAGATAAAAGAAAGTAGAAAATAGAATACAAGAGTAATGGCATTTTAACTTATTATAATTATTAATATAAATAGATATGTAACGATTCACTCGTAATAAGACTATTAAATACCTGGCAATCGATGCTTTTTTAAATTGTTTATTCTAGTCAGTGCTTTTTAGCAAGGTTGTTTTCTGACCTCATGTCTAACCTTCCTCCCTTACCTGGGTTTGGGACCAGACCGGTAATTACTCTAGAAGAACTACATGCAGTACAATACTCATTGACAAATTCAAGTAACTTGTTCTAATCTAATTACGTATTATAACACACATATTACGTAATAGTATGTTATTTGACAAGCAATTACTTTTGTTTAGAATTATATGTTTCATAGGAAACATAATTCTTCTTGATAAACCATAAAATAACTATCGAAATTAGGCAGCTATTTCTAATGTAACTAACATATTCAAAAAGATTATGTTCAGAGAGATAATTGTACCTTGATGATTGTTCCTTTTAAAACGCAAAGAAAAAAGGATTGGATTGATTGATTACTTAACCTTTATATGGGAAAATTAAAATGGTTACACTGAAGAGGATATGCATTTAAATATTACCATGTTATTATCCGTTTCAATTTTTTTTCGCAATATCCCAGGTCATGTATGATTTAATAAGGGGAGATATGTTCACATTAGAACTTTGTGAATGAATGTAAGCGTAGACATTGAATAATTTTTAGTATATATATATATATATATATATATATATATATATATATATATATATTCCTCTTTAAGTGAATATGGTTGTTACGTTTGAACAAATTATGATATCACCTTAAACTGGCGAACGGAACGAAAGTCAGCAACACAACAACAGAACAAGCTAAACTATTCTACTGCATCTCAGCCCTGCTAACTAGAGGGAGAAGATCAGTTTTAGACGACGTAAATGTATTTCCCACAAGCAATCGGAAGCATGAACCAATGAAATTTAAGGTTCTTCCAAGTGGAAAAATACAAATTAAAGGTAAAAATTGGCGCTTTTTGTGCAAAAATGAAGAAATCAAATTTCCAAAATGAAGTCAGAAAATGAGACGGTTACTACGTGATTTCTGGGGATCTAGCATTCTTAACAATCGTATAAGAAGTCAACTGTATAGTTGATAGGTTTAAGGTTAGTATTCCTTGAATCTCGGACAGTGGGATATAATCATTACTTTACATACTTATGATAGATCATACATTTTTATAACTGATAGAGAACATTCAGTTCATCTGGTCCGTAATTATTTTAGGAATGTGACAGTATGTGCTGACAGTAGAAAATGTGGGTAGACTGTAGGATTTTTATCACAAGTGTATTAGAAGCATTGCAAACGGTCTGGCTACAATCTGGTGATAACTGCGATCAATGAATGGAGACGAGACAAAAATCGATCATAATAGTGCAGATGAATTCACTTTTTATCGTGCATTAGATCTTAGTGTTCTAGCATTCTTTCGTGTATACCTTTTCATAACGTTTTTCTGAACTGTATTCTCAAAGATAAGTCTTTGTTATTATCGTTTTTAGTGAATTAATTCGATTCGTGTTGGCTTTATCTGGTTGTATCAATGTGGTATGGAAACTTCTTTCGTTGTAAAGTTTTGTTATACTCTATGTTGATTATGAACAAGTGTTCGACTGAATGCTTTGTTTTAAAATAACGACGAAAAGGTATCCAGAAAGGCAGTATATTTGATAAAAACTTAGAATATGGAATTTACATATGAGAGCAAAGATAGGACTATTCAAACAAAGGGATATTTCCCCTTATTTTATATAGAACCACTTCAATAATAAAAATGCTATAAAATATATCGTACAATATGGTTTTAAATACAAAGGTCATTGAAAAAATCAAGGAATTTCTTAAGTTTTTAAGGTAACAATAATTTAGATATATTGTTCAGATTATGAACTGGTCTAAGTTACTGACTGACTGACTAGTAGCAATAGGCACCTACGAACCCTATCATTATAAAGGGCTGAACCCAGGAGCTCCAGGTATCACGGAGAGCGATTAATATTTAAATCCTTGAAGCGCATCCAATATTTTACAAGTTTAGTTTTACTCAGTTCGTGGACAATTGTTCAACCATCTACCATTATCTTCGATAGGTAATTTCATTACATATCTTATTCACTCTCGATTGGCATTACACATAAATTATTAGTTGATTAGATATTATTTATCTACGACATCAGACATGAGATTTTCAGTCACTTTGAATGAGTCAAAACGCAGCAAAAGTTGTATACGAATAATTATGAATGTGTATTACTCTATAGAAAGTATACATGTTACGCCATTCACTAAGGAGTACTGGAATCACATCAATTTTAACTTGACATTAAAACAGGGTTCTTACCACTTTCATCCTTACGTGTGAAAAAGCGATGCGTTAGAGCTTCCTCCGGGCGAATACGAAACCGAGGTTCATATACTAACATACGTTGGATCAAATCGACGAATTTATCATAATCTTCAGGTGTATGACCTTGTTCCCCACGACGACAACTTTTAGGCCCACCAATATCAGCTCCGACAACTGTACGCAATGTTCTTGTTCCAACTCCAGAAAATTTACACTACCAAAAAGAGATTTTCAATGATAGTTAATTACTAGAAATAAGCATTGAGTAACTAAAACTGTTTAGCTAATAATAACTGAATTAATTAGTTATTACCCAAAGTAAAGCGAGATACACATGTGCATCGACTCAAGTTGATATATGCCCTCATTAGAACAATGAAATAAAATTATCAAAATAAATCCCATAGTAGTAGAAGCGACGACGGTATTAATGTAGCAAAGATTAGATGTAGACAACAGAAAAAAGGAGTAAAGATTTCGGGATTCAGCAACTAAGGGAAGATAAATAGTGAATGCATCTCTGCCATTGTGATCGATTCCGAGTTATATCGCCCAGTATCTCAGAACATTGGTTACGATAATCACGCTTACCTCAAGTAGGTAGTTTACATCTGTTAATATAGCTGAGTCCAATGGTCAGTGACTTTGTGAACTGGTACGTCTTGATTTTCCGCATCTAATTACTACATAAACATGGTGCTTCAAGGTAGGCAGTAGTTGAGCATACACAATATATGTCTCAACCACTCCAACTGATGAGTATTTACTACCTTTTTTATTATATTTTCCCTCTTTCCTAAGTACCCAATGTCTAACCCAGGCATTGCTTACTCTATGGTTCCAAAATACACGGATAATGTTCTAAAGATACATATTTTCAGATACTAGTAACCTACGAATATCCTCTACTCTTAATGTCTATGTTCCATACACAGAAAGTAGAACGTAACGAACCGTTGCGCAGAAGACCTATCTTTCATTCGGTACATGGACATCTCGCCTACACCACGAGTGATGAAAGCAGGCAAATGTAAATCCAGATTTCTGTATCTGTGACGAGATCTCCATTAGACATTAATGAATCATCAATTCACCTCATTAAAAAAAAGTATGAAAAATAATATTTGATAGAAAGTTCTTTTCTTCTTCAATGAATTAATGAATGTGAAAGAGTTAGGAATTAGATCACTTGAATACTTTGTAAATTATATTCTACTGTTCATTAATTATTACTTAGAAATATTAGACATTTTTCAATGATTCAGAAGACAGAGAAAGAAAAACAACAACAACAACTCAGAGATCATGAATGTATATGATTACATAGATATAATATTTCGCATTATGAATTAAATTGGTTGATCAGACTTCTATAGATTATAAGACAGAACAATATTTGTACATTGTATCTAATTGATTGAAAATTGATTTCCTATAACAGAATCTGATACAACATAATTATTAGTCAACTGATTTGATAAAATCAAATATTTTGATTAAGATCATGAACCGATTGATGTTAGACCATCACAATTGAAAACCTGGAAGCACTGGACGGCCGTTTCGTCCTATTGTGGGACTCCTCAGCAGTGCACATCCACGATCCCGCGAGCGGGATTCGAACCCAGGGCCTTCGGTCTCGCGCGCGAACGCTTAACCAACTGGACCACTGAGCCGGCATCCAATGGTGACAGTTTCTAACATCAACCAACATCAACCCACAATAGGACGAAACGGCCGTCCAGTGCTTCCAGGTTTTCAATTGTGATGGTCTAACATCAATCGGTTCATGATCTCAATCAAAAACTTAATAATCTCCACAACCCCTATACTAGTAATCAACATGTGCTCACTAGTGACTAGCTTCGTGAGGGAATTCTCGGAGTTCTAGTGAGAAGCCGTGATCAGTGGGGCTAATCCATGTCGGGTAGAGACAGGTATCTACCTCAGTACAACGGAAGTTGGTTGCGCAATTTCGTGGATTGGTTGATGTTAGAAACTGTCACCATTGGATGCCGGCTCAGTGGTCCAGTTGGTTAAGCGTTCGCGCGCGAGACCGAAGGCCCTGGGTTCGAATCCCGCTCGCGGGATCGTGGATGCGCACTGCTGAGGAGTCCCACAATAGGACGAAACGGCCGTCCAGTGCTCCCAGGTTTTCAATTGTGATGGTCTAACATCAATCGGTTCATGATCTCAATCAAAAACTTAATAATCTCCACAACCCCTATACTAAAAATCAAATATAGTGGCTAGTATTGGAATCCAGAACGCGCGTTTCGTCCTATTTGGGACTCGTCAACCGAATGTACATGCATCTCAGAGTTAATGTTCACTTTGGATGGGACTCGAACCGAGTACCCTTCGCTTCAAACGCCATCGCGTTATTCATTTAGCTACTGAGTCCTAAAATCAAATATGAAATGTGTGCATTCTAGTGCAACCAAGTTGGTCATTATTATTACTATTATTATCACTTCATGAAACTGATTATCTATCAAAACTCAATTTGTGAACAAATACCTTAGAAGATGAAATAATGGATCAATAAACTAAATGTATATTATTAAGTAAGATGAAGAGAGGAGTGAATTGAATGAAAGTTGTCATTTTTAAATATTAAAAATTCCCATTGTGAAAATTAGAACAACACATAGGCGAACAATATTGTTTTCAATTAGATCGTCATCAGGCTTTACTCTAATATATATGAATATTTATACGAAAATGTTAAAACAATCAAGGCAATATGGGTCAATAATCATAATGAAATAGAATAGGTCACCACACATAATAAGTAGAAATACAAGTTGATAGTAGTAGGAAGAAAGGTGTACTGATAGTAGTACGAATAATAAAATACGATAAAAAAGTCTTATTAATAGTTAAACGTTGAAAATAGAAAGTCAAACGTGGATAAATAGACTTGGAATAGTCAACATCAAAACATTAAAATCATTACGTAATAAGGAGTGTTTAAATAATTAGATAGTGAAGAATACAAACGGAAAGAGGCAGGAAATTACAAACAAATAATGGATGTGAAAATAAGGCTAATGATAACAAAATAAAAGTCGTTTGTTAAGTTATAACTGGCCATGGGAGGGATAGGGGGGTTACGAATTTCTTCTGTACACATAAATTGGGGTTATATGTACGAATTCCTATAGCTTCAGCTATATGTAGCAGGCGGGAACGAACTCCGTTGGGAAATGATGGAGGTATACGATAGATCACTCGAAATGACTTCGATTTATCTACAGCATGACCGCTATCAATGAGATGTGCCAAGATAGAACTGCGAATTATTTTTATCTGGCCCTTTATAAACCACGCTGGTAGATGTTCACTCATTCGTTGGTTAAGTTACCTGGTAGTACGCCCGATATAGCTATCCCCACAGGAGCAGCTGAATTTGTAAATGCACATTGAGGAGGCCAACTCAGGTAACTTATCCTTCGTTTGCACAGACATCGCTGGTCGACAAGAGAAAGCCAACGCAAGATTGGCTGCGTAGAATGTCTTGGTGATTACTTTCGTTAACCTATATTTCAAAGTATCACTGGCCACATCCCCGTTGAATTGTAGTTTCATATATAAAGGTTTCTTACGAACGGTCGAAATCTCCGACTTTTTATTATGTCATGCATGTACTTCTTAATAAAAGCACTGGGGTAGCCGAGTGAGTTGTTGATGAACTCAAGCTCCTGATTTAGAGTGTCTACTGTGCAGATCTTTTTAGCTCTGCTAGTGAGACAATCTAACCAAATTTCTCTTGTACCGGATTATTGACTCATAATATAGCCTTGATTGGTTTAACATTTTCGTATAAACATTCATATATATTAGAGAAAAGCCTGATGACGACCTAATTGAAAACAATTGTTCGCTTATATGTGTTGTTTTAATTTTTAAATATATAAAATACTTTTTATTAAGATGCTACCACTTATGAATATGTGGTTTACCACAGATAGTGAATGTGTTGAGAAATCACGAACCAAAGAGAAAAAAACAAACAAGAAAATTTTTTACAAAGTAGTCAATAAATTGTAAACAGTTCTTTTGACCTTAAAATGACATTGCTAACTCTAGTAACAAATGAGTAAGGCAAAAACAAAAAAACACACGGGAGATTTACAGTCTGGATTGACAGATTTGGAAAATGTTAAAAACGGTGTCAAACAATAAAAAGAAATACAAGAAAAGTGAACACAACTGATGAGGTATGAACGATAACAACTACATCATTGAAGAAAATGTCAAGTGTTAATAGTGTAAAATAGGAAAATTACCACAAAAAAAGGTAATAAGATAACTCAGTAAAGCTGAACTACTTTTATCAGAAATGAGTAAATCCACAAATGAACAATCCACTTTAATATTTTGAGGCATATATCGAAATGGTATATTGTCCATTCAATGTGCGATGACTAGTATTAAAAATGGAAAGGTGTTATATCCTAACGAGGAATAAATGGATAGTAACTGGTAGGAACTATTTATGGACTATTATTACATATATTCTTGTTGTATAACTGTTAAGTAAATATATTTATTTATATTCCTCTCATTATAAGCTTGTATTTAACCTATTGGTTATGATGATACGATTTGCTATTCTTAAGTTATTCCCAATATATTAGTTATAATCTCTCACAATCACAGCCATATTTAATCTGGTCTTGCATAATTGTTACTACTTATTTTATGGTATGATGCGGTCTGATTTGTTTGTATATAAACTACGTATGGCTGGAACACATGATTGATGTAGCGGAGACTGACATTAGTGTTCTGGACTGAACCGGCTGAGTTAGGCGAGGAGCTACTATCTCAGAGGGCCAATAAGAACTCGCAGTTAACTCGAGGCTTCTCGTAATGGTCAACAATTTGGCAATCTTATCATGTGATAAGAACATAAAAGAAATTGCAGATATTTAAGCTTAAGGATAGGACTATGATTTTAGGGGTAAGTGTTTGGAATTAAAGATTAAGGTATAGAACCCAAAGACTTAGGCTCCATATAACCTATATATCAAACTTAACACCAATTCTAGTGTTCATACTAATCTTAGCAACAAGAAATTATTCATTCATATTTGCTAGATTCAGATTGGCTGAACGAAGTCAAGAATTTATCAAGGTCAGTTATGGAGTATAGCACAAACTCGTCATTTATAGTTCACAGCCTCATGAGATAATCCTTTTGTTTCCTCTATTTATCGTTAGAGAAATAATATTGAATAGCATGACAACAATGAAGAATGGTCAAAATTCCTAAGAATCTAGTTCTAGGAGCAACTAAAGACACCAACTGGTGAACGGTCTCTGGTATTTTTCAGACAAAGTGAAAGTTTTAAAGATAACTATGACTGGAACCTGTTCTTGAAATAAATAGTCCAAGAGAAACAAATCTCATCATTTATAGTGCAGGGAACAAAATATTGTATTTTTCTTTGTTAAAAAGATTCACTCACCTCGTAAGTACACTCTTGTTTAGTCCATACACGTTTCGGTTTGTAAAGCACAGTCCCAGATGTTGATAATAATACACCTGTATTCAATTTATCAGCTATATTGTTTGATGTATTCGAGTTATTATTACTATCACAGCTATTTGTAACACCAGGGTTGACTGGATTTTTTAAATTTGTATTACTATTGGAACAATGATTAATACAATCAGCACCACAGGCCGAACTACTACTGATGGTGGTAGTAGTAGTAGTAGCATTAGTAGTATTTTTTGATGAAGATAAAACAGTGGCTGTTGTTGTTGCCGCCACTGTATTATCTCCAGCTATTGTGTTTGTTTTAATTGTAGTTGTTAATGTGCCATATGTGGTTGTCGATGGTGTCGTTGTAGGGTTCGAGGCCGGATTAATACTAGTATTATTGGCAGTAAAGTCAGCACCACCATCAGTGGTAGAAGTACTGATTAAGTTTGTTGTTGTTGTTGCTGTTGAAGTAGAATTCAAATTCACCGGTATGCATTCAAAAAAGTTTGATAATTTAGGACTAGCTTCAATCATATACACCGGTGGGAAACCAAGCACTTCAATAATTTGGAGCAGTTGTTCAAGCTAAAAAATAAAATACAGTAGAAAACTAATTTAAAAAAACTCAAGTAGGGAGGGGGAGGGGTAATAATAACATGGATAAAATTGTACCTTTAAAATACCCTGACTATAAACGACAGTCAAATTGAGATGTATTAAAGCGTTTAAAATCTATTTGATTTTTGAGAAAATTTTTTACAAATTACAATTCTATTGAACAATATTGCGACACACTTCTTACAGGTATGCGCCTATCTGATTAGATATGCAAAAAGATTATATATTGATGTGATGTGGAATAAAAAAACTTTATGCTATGCAATATATGCATAACGTTTTGATAACAATCAGTTTCATAGTGAGTCAAGTGTACAGGACTAATAAGGGTTATATTCGAAGATGATTCAACATCATTTTTTGTTAAAAAACAAATAAACAGAGAGATTTCAGTTTACCGATTGTGATAATTCCCTTGTTTATACAATAGACAAACAGATATGGTGTGTTAAAGTTGTTCCAATAATTAATTGTCTATACAACTTGGTACAGCTAGACACAAAAAATAGGATGCACCACATAAAATAAAATGTGAGAGCCATGATGCTTAGCGAGCGAATTCCTGTGAGCTCTTGATTGAAGAGTTTTGTCCACAAAAGAGTGAAGATGCAGTCCCGTGGAAACCAGTGAATAAAGATAGGTTTGTTCACCTCTTGTTTCTTAGGGTCCTGGAGCCCATGTGCACCACTGGTATGGAATCATTATTTCCCAACTCTTCTAGGTGAACCTTGAATATCCACCCCTCAGTTTCAGTAGCTGATGCTCGTTTTTCGTCCCCTAATTTTCGAAAAGACATTCCAACCGCATGAAGACAGTGAGTAGAACTTATATGGCAGAGGTTGTAAGTATATCGTCGTATGAGAGTAAATTGTCTCCAATCCCGACTATACCAAGACATACAGACAGATTGAGTAATAACCATGAAAGAGATTCTACACAATTGAATCTAATATACAAAGTGATTATCTCTACTGACAATTACTTTTGCATAAGATGTTGAGTTATCAATATAAGATAATCTCAGACATAGAGATAGATATAATAAATAATGAAAGGGAATTATAACAACAATAAATAAAAAACAAACCTCATTCGCTCCGCAAAATAATGGTTCGCCAGTGTGCATTTCGACTAAAATACAGCCAAGTGACCACATATCAATACCCAAGCCATAGTCTAAATTGAACAATACTTCTGGAGAGCTTAATATGGAAAAGAGAAGACATGATTTTTTGAGAAATAAGTAATAAAAACGAGTGGTGGACATAATAACCAACAATACTACTAAGTAAAAAAGACTGGTTGTTCTCATAATTTCTTTGCATTAAGCATTATAAATGAAAGGCAAAGTACAACTGAGTGATATATGATAATAATTGCAATGCTTCAGCGAAGAAACACGTGAGACAGTACTAAAAAATAACAAGAAGAAAAGACAACTATATCAAGTAACTATTTGAAATTAAGTACATAGAGTGGGTTTCGAATCTTTGAATTAATTATTTGATCGTATATCGTTTGCCTAAACTAAATGTACAACGATTTCTGTGTAAAACAATTATCCTTTACCCTTTGTTAACATTTCGGAATAACCTAGTGATGAGCAGTAGATCGCGATCCTTATATTTTCTCACATAAGTGGGTGCATACAGTTATATGGAGTTCAATAGTTATCTTCAGCTGAAATCAGTTGATTAAGGAATATATAAATATATCTGGTAGCGAATTGAAGTAATTTTTAGTGTGTAGAATAGATTTAGAGACAAGTGTTAGTCTAAACTACTTTAAAACAGTATCAACCAACAATCAGAAAAAAAAAACAAGGTAAAGCACTACATCAAATTATGAGACTATATATTATCATGCAACATATTCTAGGGAAGACAAATATTTTTAGAACTTTTAATGTGCAGTTTAGGTTAAACAATGAGTTTTATTAATAAATTATTGAAGTAGAGATTGGATGGTCGGGAGCCTGTCGTCTAGGTGACTATTTCAAGGCACTTAGACTCACAATCGAGTTTTCATCTATATATATGATATGTGGATGGCACCTGACTATTTGTGACAAAAATATTGAACTCAATAAATCAAGTTCATATTACAATCAGGATTACACTCAGAATTTCACTTCATGAATATCCTATTGAAAAGATCAGATTATTAGTTACTAAGATCAATAAATGGAAGGTCATGATGGAACGTATACAAAATTATGAAGTTTGGTCATATTAGGTCGGAAAAGAAATTTGACCTACACTTTCTATAATCGATTTCTATAATCAATTTGCAGCGAAATATGTAATCTCCGAAAGATATTTATCAATAATATTAACTTCCACAAGCTTAAATTCAAAACAACGAACTCAAATAATATGTGGGAAAACTTTCCATGAAGACATTGATGAGTGTATCGATGAGTTTACTCGCTCTTGTGGGGTAGGTTAAGTCGACTGCACAAAAGTGAGCTCTTCCAAAACATCACTCCGACTGGATATCAAAAAAAGGAGTATGGTTGTTATAACCCATAAGTGCTAGGTCAAGTTGTCCCGCTATAAGCAATATTTCTAGGTCATCCATACAGTCAAACAGATTGGTTTGAACCAGATAGAAATTAAGGAAGTATTCACTGAAGAAGAGGGAGAGGGTTGAAAACACCTTCCACACAACTGATCTTAGCTTCTCATTGTCTAGTCGACTGAAGATGTTTACTCAGACAAAGGATAACTCTGCCTCTGCTTTATATCTATTAATTCAGTTGCTCCTGTAGAGGAAGCTATATTGAGGATAACCGGCGACTTAACCGACAAATGAATGAAGATATCCCTATGTGATTTGCAAAGAGTAAAACAAAAATAATATGTAGCTAGGTCTTATCACAGTCAACAGCAGTCAGATGTCGAATACCACTAAATTATTCCAAATGATCAATCATAAACCTTCGCATTTTTTTCCAACATGGTTCGACGTGCTTTCCTACATACAACTAAAACAGTAGGGATTTGAGCCTACGACCTAGTCTTATATGCTAAGAATGATTGGCCTTTTCCTTGACCTGATTAAAATAAAAGGTTATTTGATTCCTTAAAATCCCTTGTTTGTTTGCCTTTATTTACTCTTTTTTGTATCCATATACTTGAACAGATTGTTTGCACACTTACAACGTAGTATTAATAATTTTTAATGAATAATAATTTAGTGTTTATTATCCCAGGTTTGGCCTGCTTCCTGTATTAAAATATTCATTCAATCTGTCTTTATTTTTGTCACTACCAGTACGCCAATTATCTTAGTGTCAATTCATACTATTTACGTTATCGTTTTTCAATGTGATTAATGACGAATAATTTGACTTGGTTTGATTTTTTGCACATGTATATAAACATTACTGTACATTAGAGTAAAGCCTGATAATGATTGAATTGTTTGAAATTAGATCTGTACACAATTGAATTCCATTTAGGTGGTTTAAGAGTTAAGTATTCGCGTGATGGATGCGGAGGATCCACCTAGGGGGAGTTTGAAAATCCTGATTCCAAACAAATGATGCACATAGGGCTCCAGGATCCTGAGGAAACAAATGGTGTATGAACCTATTGTTGGTCACCGGCTACCATGGGACTGCATCACCTCACGTAGGCCCACTGCCTTGTGGATTAGACTTTTAAATTAAAGGCTCGTGGAGTGGCCCCTTAAGAAAACCACATGTTTCGGTTTAGGAACCCGGGCAGTATCACAGCCCTCACACAAATCGAATGATTTATATGGTGCAAACATATTAAGTGCCTCCTTGTACCAATCGTTATGTGTTTAAATAAATAAAAATGGAATAATTTGAGTGCGAAATCGAAGGTCCTGGGGTTTCATTCCTAATACCAAGCTCAAGGATGTGCACAGTCGACAAGTCCTATACTAGGATAAAAACAATTATCCAGTGCTTCCAGATCCTCAATGACTACCTAACTTCGATCGGTTTGCAATCGTGATAGAACACAGAAAGTTATATCACTGGGAAAAATTTTTTCACGAAATAGTCTGTATATTTTCATAAATATATATGTTCGCTAATACAAACTACAACAAGAAAGAATAGACAAAAGAATGGGAAAAATGGTTTTAAAAAAATTAAACACCTCGACTTCAATTACTTATAGTCATAATCTAGTGAGTCGAGCTTACTCGTCTTCTTTTCCTTTGTAAACTTCCAAAAAAGTGTTACATTACACAATAAAAAGTTTGCTTTAAGTATTCTAGAACTAACACCCTTGAAAACTATTCAGGAAACAAAACAACACTGTTGAAACTTTAGTTCTTTCACATTTCAAACAACTTGTTTGTTATTGATTGATAATTCAATTTTTGCATGGAAATTCACATACATTCCATTATTAAATGGAAATAACTAGAGAGTTATTAAACGGTATATTAGTTGAAGAAAGAAACCCATGAAATAATAAATGAGTTCATTATAATGTTATGCAAATATTATTCGGCATTCTTCCATTGTTTTAAGAAAAATAATGAAGTAGACATGTATTTAATTGAGAAGAGAAAAAAAACACAATCATCAAGAAAAGTGTTGATACGGGAATCAATAAATCGATCAAAGTCTTATTCTTAGTACCAATATGCTACTCCTGTGTATGCTACTTATATTGACATAAGTAGTATAAAACACTAGTCAGGAATAGAATGTCTGGCAGCAAAAGGTTGAGAAGAAAAAAACGGAAACAGAAAGCAATTTGTATGGAAGTGATAGAACAGTGGGTTTTGAGACGATCGATGGACATTTGCAAAGGATCAATCAAGTTTGAGACAATTGATTGGCATTTTGCAAATTAAGTATTTACTGTATGGTTATCAAATTTTACTAAGACGACATGTAATTTTGTATTCAAATACATTCGATTGTCCCTACTTGTGTTCTCATTCACTGCCCTCCTACTACTACTGTGTATACTTTTGAATAACAATGATAATAATAGTAATAATAATAATAAGGGCCCCCGAATGCCCTGGTATGACCGAGAGTGGATTGGGCCCGTCCTCCCTCTCGAAATGCTCTCACACGGCCACGCGTACACAGCCTCTAACAGGGAAGTCCTACTCAATGCCTTCTAGTGGCATTACTGTTGTTTACGAAAATCAAAGGAAGAAAAGCGAATGTCCGGCGCTTTAACCGGATTCCAAATCAAATCAATGGTGTACATGGGCTCCAGTATCGTGCAGGAACAATTGGCGTATGAACCAATTGTTGGTCACCGGCTAGCATGGGACTGCATCTCCTCACGATGCTCCACTGCCTTGTGGGTCAGACCTTCAGGTGGAAGGCTCGGGGAGTGGTCCCCTAAGAAAACCACCTGTTTCGATTTGGGCACTCGGGCAGTATCACAGCCCTCACACATATCGAATGAGATTTGTGTGGCGCATATGTATTTGGTGCTTCCTTGTACCAATATCTATGTGTTAAAATAAAATAATAAATAAACAATGATAAAAAGGGGACTTAAAATTAACCAGCTTTCCAGACATACAGAAATATACTCCATATTATTTAGTATCATCAAAATAGGTTCGGAAAGGCAGTTAACATTTTCACAATTACAAGTTAGTGATTAGTAGTATAGTAGAATTTATTTTGAATTTGTTTTAGTATTATTGTAAGTCAGCAAATTCAATACTACGTAATCGATCAATAGTAATGATAATCATGGAACGTAAAAAAACCAACACCCAATGGATTGATAATGATAACAAGAAATACATCACTTATTCATAAAAGACTGTAGATAGCCTAGATATTTGAAAGAGAGAAAGAAGGATATTCACTTTTTACGTTTGTTGCTTACTAGACACATTAACGTATAACAGCTCACGTGAAATTGAGTATGTTCGCAATTAATTCGATTAAGTCATTTTGTTAACTTATTGACGAACTGAGTCATCCGTACAACAACCTATCTATATCATCGTATCTTTATCACTGTTGCGAATGTATGAACATGTATGCTTGAGCATTGCTTACTGCTCACCCATTTATTCACACTGCTGGCCTTACGACTAAACGATTAATTGATTCGATGATTCATTAATTTCACCATGTATATATATATAATATATCCATGTTATTCATGTTCATTGCTCTCTCTTTCTCTCTCGCTTGACTGTACTCGCTTACTCGTAATCATATTCGCTGACTCACTCACTCGCTCGCTTGCCTTTCGGCACAACTCTTTCATGTTTGTTTAACGAATCTGTAATTTTGGATATCTGTATGTGATCCCGTAATTAACGTAATCAACACTTCGTATTCGCCTTCTGATTAATATGCCGTTAAAGCGTTATCTAGGACGGTTTATCAAGACCAACTGTATACGAAGTTTAAGGATTATATCGAATACCGACCACCACAAACCCCGTCGCCTCAGTGGTTTAGAGATTAATTGTTCACGCGTGTTGGGTCGAATTCCCTGTGTGAAGAATCGTGGATACACCACTGATGAGGAGTCCCATACTAGGACGAGACGACCGTCCGTGTGTTTCAAGGCTTTCAATGATGGTCAAACATTGATCAGTGAAAATTAACAATCCTGTTATTTATTTATTTATTTATTTTAACACATAGATATTAGTACAAGAAGGTACCAAATACATATGCGCCACACAAATCTCATTCGACATGTGTGAGGGCTGTGATACTGCCCGAGTGCCCAAATCGAAACAGGTGGTTTTCTTAGGGGACCACTCCCCGAGCCTTCCACCTGAAGGTCTGACCCACAAGGCAGTGGAGCATCGTGAGGAGATGCAGTCCCATGGTAGCCGGTGATCAACAATTAGTTCATACACCATTTGTTCCTTCAGGATACTGGAGCCCATGTGCACCATTGATTTGGTTTGGAATCCGGTTAAGGCGCCGGACATTCGCTTTTCGTCCTTTGATTTTCGTAAACAACAGTAATGCCACTAGAAGGCATTGAGTAGGACTTCCCTGCCAGAGGCTGTATACGCATGGCCGTGTGAGAGCATTTCGAGAGGGAGGACGGGCCCAATTCACTCTCGGTTATACCAGGGCATTTAGGGGCTAAATTTTTATCAACAATCCTATACTGATAATATTAAAGATAAAATGATTCAAATATTACATAAATATCATCAATGAAATAATGAATTAACTTACCGATAAAATCTTGATTGAATATATTGATATACTTTTTCATGTACATGACATGAACTACCAAAATCAATAACTTTAATTGCTGAACGTTTTGGATTAACTAATAAAATATTTTCCGGTTTTAAATCACAATGTATTACTTGTACATCTGATCTAGATAGAAATACTAATGCAGCACATAATTGTTGAGCAAATTTTCTTGTTAAATTTAATGATACACCACGATAATTTGTATTACCAAGTAAATCATATAAATTATAAGAGAGTAATTCAAATACTAAACATAAATGACCATGATAACTGAAATGTCCTTTTAAATTAACTATTAAATATTTTAGGGGAAAAAAAAGAATGAAAAATGAACATATAAGTAGTATATAACATTGAATACATTAAATAAAAAAGAATGAAGACAATAATATAAACTATTTTTTGAATATTATTAGTATAGGAGATTGTAGTATTTTAATAGTTTAATTCATGAGTCGATTCTAACCTAGAAAATGAAATGAATGTTGTAGTCAGCGGAAAGTGGTTAGAACATAATATGTATGATGATGACGTATATACAATAAGGTATGTTGAATAGTGGTGATCATAGTGTTATACAATAATATATTAAGAATAGATACTAACACCGTTAGAGGTCTACTACTACAACAACACTTGACATAAAATGATTGATTTTTTGTTAACAACAAACTTTTGTAATGGAATCTATACATGAAGTATTCAATAATGTAGGAATAGGTATTTGTTAAGTTGTATGGATTTCGGATATTATTGGGATACTGAAGTTTACGCGATAAATTTAACTTTGCTAGACACACATTGAAAATCAGAAAGCACTGGGAATCTGTTTCGTCGTAGCATAGAACTCCTCAGTAGTGTAGATAGATGACCTTTAACCAGATATCGAATGCAGAACTTTCAAGTCATGCAGTGAGCAATTAACCTTTAAAATGAGCCAGGGGCTGCAATGGTTTGACTTGAATCATTTTGTGATATTGCAACAACCTTCTTTAAATACTATCATTAACAGTAGGTAAGTGACTCACACAAAATATGATTAAATTCAATTAGTTAAGGCATGGATGGTTTTAATGTGTACTGCTTAGAAGTTTTATGCTCGTACGAAAAAGCTTCTTAATGTTCCCTGATTCCCATTGTTTGCTTAATAAAGATTAGTTCATGATGTGAACTATATAGTTTAACAATCCACACAATTTTCTATAATTATTATATTATTGAGATCAATTTTACACTGATCAGCATTACAGACTATAATGTATGCATAAAAAGTACATTCAACAGATAATCCAGACCCTTTAAATATCAGAATAACAAGATATGGATTATAATTGATAAAAACAATAAATATAAACTTTGCTTAAATGAATGGTTCTAAATATCAATCTGTTACTATTCAATAGGGAGTATTTGCATTTATGAGAATGATAATAGAGCATTGGATTATACTCCTTGAATAACATCTTCAAACCCTAATCTTCCCGATTACTGCTTATACTTTTACTACCTCTACCACTATGGGATTTGAATCGACAAATGCATCTCTGTGCTAATGGGCTATGGTAACTCGAACTGATGTACGTACGTATGAAGTTCTACGTTGTTACTGACTGACTGACTGACAATGGAGCATAAAATATTGAAAATCTACAAGTTATTACAATGATATTTAAATATAAGATTATACAATAAATAAAAAATTACATCTATTGAGTTAAAATGAACATACAAAATAGTTTCATCATAAATATGATCCAATTATTCAATCTATTAACATACAACTGATAATGATGATAATAATAAGGATCACTTTCATAATCATGATATATGATTTCGATTTCACTTGTATAAAATGATTCTATATACACATGTACACAACTTAATCAAGTATTCTCTTAAAATAGTATGACGTACAGACACCTATCTACCTACCTACCTACACACACACACACAAATGAATATCAGCTGATAATGTGTTAGATGATGATTTGATAAACCTATGGAACATATATATTCACTGAAAGATATTCAACAATAAACCGACTAAATTAACACTACCAATGTGTAATCAATGTCGGGTTCTTTTTTTTCGTGAAAAATTTTTTTTATTTGCGCATAGAGAGATTGTCAAGTTAAATAATGAAAAAGATAACTGAATGAAAATATAGATGGTAACGCGTTAACAACAATACAGTCATTAATTGATAAATAAGGCAGAATACAAAATCGATATACATATCATCATAGATGGTGATAATTCAACTGTCATTACATGTGTTCAGTTTCATGATAAGAAGTGATAAAAATAGTATATATATATATATATATATATATATATATATATATATATATATGCTTTAAATAACACATGATATGTAGATGTAAGATATAGTGTTTTTAAATACAGAATAATTTGTAGTTTACTATACTAGTATTCAATTATAAATACCATCGAATCATTGATCGAGTATGATAAGTATAAGCTCCAGAGGTTGAGAGTTGGGTATTAAGTAAAATGGCAAATCAGTGGATCAGATATCAAACTTGAATTGATCGAAGCGATTAAGACATGCAATATGTATACCTAACCACCGCCTACCTCGACAAACGAAGTTGTCTAATGTAGAAGTGGGTTCGAAGAAAGTTAGGAGGAGACAAATTAAAACACATGGCATTAGTTCATGAAGTCATGTTGGAAGAAGCAGACAATCTAGTTGAGGTTCACCTAATAACCGAGATCAGCTAGTGGTTGAAAACAATGGGTGATAAATAATATTGGGACTTTATGCATTTAATATACATTAGTTGTAACACTTGAATTGATAGAAAACGTTCATCATAAAAGATCAGTGGCGTATAGTAAAAGTCAGAGTGGCCTAAATTTAATATGGAGAAACGATCGACACACTCAACTACATCATTGTCTATCATTAGTCCAGACGTTTACGTAGACCAGTCATGAAGCACCATTTTGGATTTAGAGAGAGAAAAAATGATTGAGTTTTCATGCAAGGTAGTCAGAAAACCGTATATCTTGTCAGTTTTCACCAGAAACAGAACTATATCATCATTCCCTAATACCCTGAATCTGACCTCACTATTACTTACCCGGTGATTCTAACACATGCTAGCAATATTTCTAAGATATCTGTAATCAAAGACTAGTTACTTACGAGTATCCTCTCCCCTAATGGTCACGTTCCCTAGCCGTCAAGTAGAACAGAACGAACTGCTGCTCAGTATACTCGTCCTTTAATTGATGGACTGATATCGCCTTCGACATAGGTGATGTAAGTTATCGAAAGCCAAACGAGCTCTACTGAATTGATGTAGAGGTTTCGTCAGACACCAACTCATTAAGGCTGATCAGACTTCCAAGATAAGTGAAGTTGTCGACGCGTTCAACTACGTCATTCCCTATCTTTAGCTAAAATATTAGTCAACCTAATCGTTAAAACTGCACCATCATCTTTAGACTCTGGAGTTATTCTATTTGGATCAGCTGCTCTTTCTCGTTTCAGATCAGCTATAGCTTTTTGAACTTCAGCTAGAGTCGACGGACCTATTTCAATGTTCCATTCAGGCTGTTTGGAAATGGTGGGTAGTTGTAGAGTAGTTAAAGGCCAGCTGAACTGTTCCTCTCATCATTCTAGGCTGAGAGTAGATAAGTGTCATCTTTTCCCGAGATTGGCTTACTTACACTTGACTTCTTAATCCCAGTTTATTTTACTAGTCTGAAAAAGATGTATGGCGTAATCTACAGCCACTGCCTTTTCCATTTCTTTTGCTTTCGTTGCCCACCACAGCTCACTAGCGTTCCGTATACTTTTAGTCGAGCTAAATCTGATTTGTTTTCGCTCCTCATCGCTAGTCAGTCAGCTACAATGTAGGACCAGGCACATATGTGGATCGGTCCAAGTTGCCATACCTCATTAGCACAACAAGATGAACACCGGATTCATAGTAGTGGTGGTAATATATAAAAGAAAGTTTGGATATAAGAAGATAGTACAGGAAGAAAGAATTAGTTCGCAGAAAGAAAGACATGAAGCGATTTTAATCTCATAGTTTAAGGGAAGACAGAGAGTATATACACCTACACTCCTCATCGTGTTCGGAGCCTGATGGGGTGAATTTACAAGAGTCCATCAGTCAAATATATGTCGCAGAAATCGACTGGTTGTTTGTAACCCTTTGGTTCAGATCAATAATGGTTATCGCTGCTGTTTTCACGGCTGTTCGTACATCTTTCCAAGCAACATATGGGTCAGCATCGATTTCAAAATTGCCTAAGTTGCTCCTGGAATTTACCTTTGGCTTATATATCACTGAGTTCAATTCGAATAGGTCGATATATAAATTAGAAAATACATTGAAATTCAAGGAACATAAATTAAATTACAGAATTTTCTATATGGAATAACGTTCCAGCATACTGACTGGCTAATATCAAGCTAATCAACGCTACGCTAGTGGATAAATCGAGAAGACCTTTGAGTCTTTTTGTGTAAAAACACTACTAAAAAACGTTTTTTTTTACTGTGACTTTAACTCGGTTAACCTACTGTTTTGTTTTAGAATGTAATTATGTTCCTGTTTGAGATGTTTTCTGATTTAAAGATCAGTGTAACGGAGTAGTGTTTAAGGAATACTAAGCAGCAAAAGTAATAAGGTCGAATAAACAAGACTTAACACAAAGTAAATTGTATCGTCCTAACCTGAATTTTATTATTATCAGCGTAAAGGTTATTCAGTAATTGTTTTAAACAAAAGAATAAAAATTAAAAGCTTTAAATTTTTTCACTAAATTTCCTAATTACTTTGACGCTTAAAATTTAATCAATCATAATCAGTAGTGTTTAGGAGAAAAATCGTTGGAGAACATCGTCATACCACAAAAAAAATAACATCGGAATAATACAGTATCGATGACAAAAATTAAAAAAAAACTAAATATTGGAAATATATCAGAAAGAGTTTTTGTGGATATTATAGTGATTTCGATTTCAGCAGTGCGCATCCACGAATCTCGCAAGACAGGATCGTGGATGCACACTACTGAGGAGTCCCACAATAGGACGAAACGACTGTACAGTGCTTCCAGGTTTTCCGTGGTGGTCTAGCTTCAATTGACTCATGATCTCAACTAAGAATATAGTTTAAAAAGACAAAGTGGGAAAGTATGATGCCTGAAGGTATACTAGAACTGAAGATCTAGAGGAAAATAAAGAGTGAATCATTATAAGTCATGTCACTGAACATTTCTAACCACTGGTCATGATTATTGTACGAACACCTCAACTATCTAGTCTGTACGTATCGTCACGGCTCAGACCAATAATCGATAATTGATGTTACTTCTTCCCAACATCCTTTTACACAAGCAAGCATCGGCCATCAAGGCAGATAGTGTTTAGGCATAAATATGACACATGTCCTAACCACATCATAGTCAATGAATATTCAGTTTCATACACTGATTTAACATCTTTTCCTAGCCTTGAAATCCCTTACCACTCAGTCGTTTCATGTTACACAAGTAATGCTTCGAAGACGCATATGATCAAAAATCTGTAATCTATGCATATCTCTATGTATAGATCATGGATTTATAATCATAGAAAGAATAATGCTACACAGTCTCCTCGTTAGTAAAGATGATCAATCCTTCTTAAAGGTTAAATTATAAAAAAATTGTAACTCTTTAGAGGATATCTATGACGAAATTAAATATAAAGTAAGATAAACTAGAAAGTTTAACGAATATTAATTTAAAAATTGTTTGATAAAAATGAAAGTATATTTAATAATCATTTACCAATATAATTAGCTCCAACATCTGTAGCTAATTGTTCATTCGCTTGAAATATAGACATTTCACGTAGTAATTTAATTTCAACTTCAGCTTGTTGTACAAAAGAACGTTTATTTTTAATCACTTTAATAGCGACTTCCTCTCCGGTTAATTCATCGAAAGCACGAACAACCTATGCGTATGACAGAAAAAAAATATATAACATTTATTAGAAATAATTCTGATTAATTTTTAATGATTCAGATTGTATTTCAGTCAATTAGTTAGTTATAACTTAGAAACTAATAGGTATATACATCGGTTCAAGTTGTCATACCCCCATTAGCACAGATGGATGAAATTATAAAACCAAATCCCAGAATAGTGGAGGTAGCAACAGTATGAATGATAATAGAAAAGATTAAATATCGAAGATAGGACTCGACAGGAAAACATAAATTAGTGAAATAAAAAAATCATAAGAAATTTAAAAGCGTACATTATGGGGGTTGGCAAAGAATGGATGCACATGTGTCATTCCAAAGGATTATGAGCCATATCATTCAAAGTCTAACCACTACTTACGATAAACATGCGGACGCTAACCAGGTAGTCTAAACCTATTAATATAGTGTTAGTGACTTCACGAACGGATGCTATGTTTTTGGTTTGCCATCTCTAGCTTTCTTCTAGCTAAATACTACATCAGACAACATAGTCCGTCGAGGAAATAGGTGGTTGGGCATACGTAACATATGTTCCAACCTCCTCAGTCGATTTGCCATTCTGCCTCGTATTATTATTAATGGCTTCATGCAATATTATATTTTGGTACAATAGAGAATTCTCAGCACGAGGTATTTCAACAAGTTTTTTTTTTAAAATGATCTGAATCTGTACAAATTTTTAATTAGAGACATGTTTGAGAATACACGTTACTGACTAGGTCAACTCTAACAACCTGTTCGGCACAGAGAATATTTGCTAGGTAAGGTGTTATGGGACTTTTATATCTTTGCTTGCATGGATTTCAATGTATCGACATCTCGTTCTACCAGAAGAAGATATACAAGGAGACAGATATGAAGTGGATGTTTAGTATCTGATACGATAACAGCTACCAGGAGTTTTCAAGACTTTATGTGTTTATCCACAACCATATCAATAATGACCGCAAAAGATTCACCACACACCTTGCTAACTACCTTTAGCACTTTCCGCAATACAGCAAAGTCTTTTTTAAAATCCCGGGAAATAACAATGTAGAAAAATAATGAATAATACGTAATAGACACGAATTGACAAGTTGCAAGAGTAAGTGTCAAGTAACCCCAAAAGCATGCAGCTTCTTTATGTAACAAATCAGACGGAAAAATTTCTTCGATAACAGTAAAAACATGAGAAGACCAACAAAAGGTTATAGCAGCTCACGTGCAATTGAGTTTGTTCTCATTTAACTCAGTTAAGCCCTTTAGTTAACTTATTTAGCGGACAAAGTCATCCGTACTATAACAACTTATTGTACCTTTATTATTGTTGTGCATGTATGAAATATGTATGCTTGGACATTGCTTACCGCCTAAGCATATATTCATTCTGCTAGCTTTATTATTAGCTGTTTGATTGATTCGATGATCCATTCATTTCCCTATATATATATATATATATATATTTACACACTACTCTCTCGTTCCGCTTTTCTGGACTGTACTTCTGCTTCTGATTCTATCCCAAGACAACTTTTACTTAACAAGTTAGTCAGCGTCAACATTGACAGCTCGATAACCAACTGGCTATGTTTCTACCTCTCTGGAAGAAAACAATACACTTTCTGGAGGGGGGGTTCAACGCCTCTACTGTCTCATAAAGGTGTGCCACAAGGAGCTGTCCTTTCACCTCTTTTCTCTTTTTTCTCTGCATGATCTGGCATCTGTCACAGAAAACACTTTTGTGAAATATGCGGACGATCTCACTGTATGTATGCCGATTTCTGCTAATAAAACTGTAGCAGCAGCTTCTCTTTGCCTTCTGATTTCAAACACCGTTGAGGATTATATGGTAACGGTTACGAGGGTGATTGGTTAACGAAACACAACCACTACAAGGTAACACCAAGATTATTGACCTTCGACACTGTGTTTATCAGAGTTCCAATAGCACAAGCATTACGGGATCCCAACATGGTGTTTAGGTGCTGTTCATGTCTCAGACTAAAGTTAACAGTCTAACATTTAGACGAATTAAGTATGAAACCATTACCGACAGACCAACAATTAATACGAGACAAAAACTCATTCATTTTAAGGGTTATAAAGAGGTAGAAATCGGCATACATACAGTGAGATCGTCCGCATATTTCACAAAAGTGTTTTCTGTGACAGATGCCAGATCATGCAGAGAAAAAAGAGAAAAGAGGTGAAAGGACAGCTCCTTGTGGCACACCTTTATGAGACAGTAGAGGCGTTGAACCCCCCCTCCAGAAAGTGTATTGTTTTCTTCCAGAGAGGTAGAAACATAGCCAGTTGGTTATCGAGCTGTCAATGTTGACGCTGACTAACTTGTTAAGTAAAAGTTGTCTTGGGATAGAATCAGAAGCAGAAGTACAGTCCAGAAAAGCTCATCGAACATACTTCTTACTCTTTTCTAAGCTGAACACTATACTGTAATGCAGAACAGCAACGACATCTAAGGTGCTTACTTTATTCCTAATCCAAGCCATTGCTTAATCCGTGGTCCCAAGGTACGCAAGTGGTGCTTCGGAGACACCTAAGACTTAATACTAATAACCTACAAATGTCCTCTACTTTTAATGACCATCTCTCACACGCAAAGTATAGCGGAACGAATTGCTGCACAGAAGACTTGTCCTTCTGTCAGTAAACGGATATCTCGCCTACGCCATGAGTTATGGGAGTTAGCGAAGCGCAGCCGAGGTCTCTGAATCCGAGCAGATATTTCGCCAAACACCAGGATTGATGAGACTCAAGATAGGTGAGGCAATTCAACTACTCCATCACTAAACATTATTTCAGGCGCCGATGCTAGTCAATGCTGAAGTGACATTTTGGATTTGTAAGGATTATATGTGTGACATATGTATGACATCATCTTGAAATTGTATAAAAACAAACTTTACGTATATGAAAATAACCAGTATGAACCTGTTCAACTTACACATATAACTTAGTATATAACCAGAATTAACAATAAGGCTGAATTTCTGTAATTATGAACGAACTATGGAAATACCGAAAACAAAAATAGTTCCAGTGAAGCAAATATTGAGGAAAGTGTACCTCTTGGCATTAAAACGAAACGATTATTAGAAAATTTAGGATTTTCTCCTTTCTGAAGTTATTTTTGCTCTTTATCAACTACTTAAGTTACCGCATTTTTGTATTCTTCTGCTTTCTCGTCATACATAAACTGTTGTTGCATGCTATACTTTACTTAAGTTACTGTTCATTTATTATAGACCTGTTACTCAGTTCTCTTCCATTTATAGCGTAGTTATTCCGTTATTGTCATTTCTTAATTATGTTGATGTGTGGTTATGATTTCACTCTATATTATTGTGAGTTTTGAGTCATGATTGAATTGAGTATCATGGAAGCTGGCTGCTAACGTCTCTCTTGCACTCAAGGAAGAAGATCGAGAAGGGTTTATGAATAGCCGACTACTAGGTGCTCAGACTATGTATTTTCAAGGCTAACTGTGTGAGTCATAAAAGTGTATTTAAGCAGGTCCAGGACACTAGTTTATAAACGAAACAATGGACGCGAGAAACACAAAATTACAGCCGGAATTCTGATTGATGATATTGATCAGTGTACGCAAACTACAATATCAGGGACTAAATCCCTAATTATTACTACTATTTATATTTTTATTGTATAGTAGTTAACAGTATTATTGTATTTTCATATTCCCACCTTTTTTAAATCGGCTTGAATGTTGTAGATTTGAAGTAATTTTCCAAATTATTAATAATTATAATTTAGTTGTATAATTAGAGAGTAACCAAAGTACTACGTTTATGTATTTCGCTTATCATAAGCTTTTCGTTAGCCCATAAACCAACGGTCATAATTTGTTGCCAGTCTATTATTTACGGTCTCTCATATCCGTAGCCACTTTCTGTTTGTTCGTGTCTAATTGTTATTTTTCATTTCACGGTATGGTGAAACCCTGTATACAAACGTCAGTTCGAAATATAAATAAAGTTAAAGCTGGTTACTGACTTCTAAACTCAAGGCAAGGTATTGAGAGAAGTTTGTGAATAACAAACCTGTAAAAACCTAGCTTCATCGACTCAAAGTCGATAGTGCTGGTTAGACGTATAATAGACCAAGTCAGAGACATTAAGCTATAAAGTAAATAATAGACCAAATTAGAATTAGGATTGTGATTGGCGACTTGGCACATGATATTGATCAACGGGTCTTCAGACAAAACACCATTATTGTAAGCTTCCAAAGAAAATGTTAACTATTGTTATATGTTTCATTAATTCTCAATTATTGATAATTAATAATGTAATGTTCACTTCGTTCTGTCATTTATGGAGTGATTGTATGCAAATAACCGTTTCCTAATTTGAGTTGCAGTTGGATATTTCATGTATGTAAGTTAATGTGTTTGGGATAAATACATTGTATGGGTGGAATATAATAATAAAAGTTTGACTGCTCTTTTTTCTTAGACTCAACGCAGGGGATAGAAGAAAAAGTTACGAATCAGCGGAACAATAAGAGATAAGTTTATATGAACTCAAATTTATTCGTGTCAGCTGGAAGAAGACTGGGGACGTTAAGTTACAGACGAAATAGAATATGCGACGTAAAAAAAAATTATAAATGGAATTTCGATTGGCTTACATAGAGAATGATAGCGATTAGCATCTTAGACAAAACAAATAGTTCGTAGATTTTATATCACGAACATGTCTTAGTTAGACCACCATAAGAGTGGAAGAAATGGACGCCCGTACCTTCATAGCATGGAACTTCTCTGCGGTGCACATCCACGATCTCACATCTGGGTAGTGAACTCAGGACCTTTGGTTTCGCACGCTTATGCCTAATCTCTATACCACTGAGTTGATATCCAGCATTGGTAGTGTCTAACATCAATTACCTGCAGGGGATAACTATCTCACATCTTATTTGATTGGAATCTACTGATTGGTTATGG